CAACCAAATAACAAACATTAAAAAAGAAACTTATTTCATTGAATTTCATAAAAGTTAATAAGGTGTCCAGTTTGCTATGTAAAATTATTGTAAACTGAACCCCCGACGGAAGCCAAAACAAATATATTGAAATGATGTGATTTATTTAAATATAAAAATTGTCATTTTTAGTCGTAATCAGGAGTGCTTAATCGTTAGTAATATACGAAAGAATAACTTCAGATTACGAAATAGATTTATTTTTATTTTTTACATTTTGAGAAGCCAGGTGAAATATATTTTGTTTGGGGATTGCATAGGGGGATCAATTTACAATGTATTTGCATAGCAAACTGAGCCCTCTATTAACCTTTTATAAATTTAATATCTTTTTAGATATCCATGATGTGGGATGCTTAATAAATAGGAATATGAAACAAAAATTGAAAAAAAATAATTATTTCTAGTTGTCGTTCAACTCCATCAATTAAATAAACCACTTAGCTAAAGAATAATTAAGTAAAATGAATCAAATTAATTTTTAACTTGATGGTTTATTTCTTTTGCCTATCATTGTTTATTATGAAGCTTAGTTTAGTCGAGCGCGTGATCGCAATTGTTAAATACCCAATGGGTATTGAACTCAACTAATTAATAAAATCTGTCAGCAAAATGAAACTTCTTAATTCTCGACACATCTACGGTGCTATAGCGCACTGGAGACGTCACCTATCACCACAAGCACTTTTTGTTCGAATTTAGAACTAAGCAGAAGCCTAAATTTGTCTATGGCAATGCTACTAAGCTGAACTATAACATTATCACTACTGAAAGCATCAATACCATTCCTTGAAAATCACCACTATCACTTAAGGTTAGTTTCTTATCTAAGTCTTTCATCAGGAAAAACTCCAGAAAATCAGTACCAGAGGAAAACAAAATCAAATTACATATTTAAAAACGAAGCAAAAATGTTTACAACAGAATTCATCTTCTATATATCGTGTCCCTTTACAATGTGGGCGATCATGACGCCCCATAGCTTCACGTCCTTTTTAGCTCTTTAGTAAATTTATGATATCTCTCCTAATCCCTGTTCTGCTGCCTATTTAAACAAGTTCGTTAAATAGTTTATGCGCTAATTTTCTCTCTCTTAACTTCAATATGTCCTCTGAGTATTAAAATCGTCAAGCCTTCTTTCCTCATTATGCACACTAAAACTTCAACTGTCTCTTTCTGATTCTATGTATATGTGTCTGTTTTGTTTTCATCGTTCAAATATTTTTTCTTTCTCTATTAACAGCGTTCCCTCTTGATGTTAATCATCATCTCGATCAGCATTCAGATAAAAAAAAATTAAATCAGAAATATTTAAAACTTAATATCAGAATTAGCTCCAACACTTTTAACATCTGATTTAACTTCACCCACACACGTTTTGTTTTGTGACGCCCTGCTTGCGACGGGTTCCCAAGGACGATTGCGCCTTACTAAGGATCAATTTGAGATTGTTCTTTCATGATTTATTGTCTCGCACTGAGAACTAAACGATTCGAGCTTAAACAATAGAATATATAACTTAGGTACGATTTCTAATGGCACTGAGAATCTACAAGGGTAAGTCAAAAACTTATCCGCTCTTTCGCAATAACATTTCTTAAGGTTTGTCCCATTGCCTTTTGCTCATGCGTGTTTTGGTCACATGATTGAAGTTGATCGCGCCAGTTTTCCGTCCTCTGTTAAAACACATTCCAACCAAAGTTCTTTGAACATCTACAGCCAACCAGCATAAAGAAGAAAAATAATACTATAATTCCCAGCCGTCAATCTGCCCAAACCTGGGTCGAGACGGAAATAGATAGGAGTGTCGTCTTCAAGTCCTTTGATCTTCCATGACCAATTACCTCCATATTAAACCGGCTCATTTAATATTTGTTTTAATCGTGTTCACCCCAAAGCCACTGAGGCACAAGGGTTTACTGGACGTGAAAGAGTTAGAAACAGAAATATTTGCTAAGGAGCGAAAACAAAATAAGAATAATCAGGAGAACAGTAGATAGGGGTTGACATTGAATTTCAATTTTTGCAGATTAAAGGTGGCAGGAAAACATGGAGCCGGAAGTGAGTTTCACAAGTGACAATTACGGGAAAGAAGAACAGAATTTACAGTTGTATCTAGCCAACTCAAGTGTAAATTGATGAGACCTCATCTTCTTGTAGTGCACTTAGATTCAAAGCTCATCCAAACAATTACCACGAAAGTATTTATATTTACGGCTGTGGGGAAAAGATTTGAGCCGAGAACGCCAGATCAGGGCCAATAATATTACTGATTCTTTTTTGGGATTTTACCAAATCATATATCTTTACATTTATCTGAAACACTATTTCTTGAACATATTCTGATTGTAATATAAAAAATCATTATACGTGTTCTTAAGATCTTAAAAGCTATTTTGATCTTTAAGCTTCATAGACGATCAGACTGAGAGAAAAAAAAATAAACCGGAATTCAATATTGCATAGAAATAAATCACAAAGAAGAAAGAAAAGGATATAGTTTATTTTGTTTTTAACATGTCGCATTTTATCTAATCACTTCATCCACTATTTCTTTGTTCTGAAGTAAAATGTATTTCCAAATTAAAAATGTATCATTAAAACAGTTTTTTGTAAGTTTGGCTATTTGTTTGGTTGGCTTTGTTTGAATATTTAAATAACATCAAGATAATTTCTTTTATTGTCTTTCATGGCAAGTACCAACATTGATAATAGCAACGTCGCTTTTCATTGTTAATGACCAATGAAATGAATGCAGGTGTTGTACGATAATAAAAAGACTTCAATGTTGAGCTCATATCAGCATTATGAAAGGGTTATTTAAATCGCGTACATTTTAGTGATTTTACAAGAGCATAAGCGTACTGAGTGCTAGCTTTGTGATAATCACTAGAGATGCAGCGCTTTTCTGAACCTGAAGAAAATAGTCTATCGGTCTACATGTGAATAGAATGACACAGACAAATAGATACAAATATTGTATCAAAAAATGCGCACTGTTGTGTGTGGCGTCGCGATTATCAACTCGATAAGTGGGATTGGCGTGTTGAGTTCAGATCACAATCGAAGCTGTATAGTTATCTTTCGTACATATATCCTTAGAAAGGTATAAATATCTCCCTTCTGTCTACTATCAGTTAGGTATTAATAGCAGGGCTAACTGGGATCTCGCATTTGGTGGTAACAACTCTACGAGGAGGACAACTCTGAATTTAAAACCGGTTGATCGTTGGTCTGTCTACCCCGTGAAAAAAAAACTACTTGCTACGGAAAACACAATAGCATCACCTAAAATTCAGCGGCTTTCCCTAAACCGAGCAGGAAAGTCTACCAATTTAATGCACATACATTTATGTATGTACATTATTTACATTATTCGGACTGTTTATTATAAACAGAGCATTTACTTAAATATTTGTATCTATAAAAAAAAGAATGTATAAACATAAAAAATGTCTTAAAATAGTTGTCGGACTTTGTCCATTTCGTATATATATGTATGTGTGTGCGTAATCTGTGCAATCTGTCCTCATCTTTGTCGCCATATTTATTACAACGTTTCGGCTGTTGTACGCTCCGGCCTTCTTCAGTTAGCTGGAATGTCGAACTGAACCCTTTATTTCGCATACTGGGGTGAAATGATTAATATATATATATATATATATATATATATATATAAAAGACATTTTTATGTTTATACATTCTTTTTTATAGATACAAATATTTAAGTAAATGCTCTAATTTATAATAATCAGTATTAACAACATCTACCAGCCTGAATATCCAAGAAATTGTGATAAAACATATGCGTCCTCCGACAGGATTCGAACCTGCATCCTATAGCCTGACGTACTTTTACGCGATTTCGCCACAGAGGAGCATTTCGGTTAGCAAGTTCGATTTTACTGTTTTTAAACTACAATCTTCCACGATTCTCTTACGTACATTCATATTCGCTCAAAGTGTATCTAAATGTAAACAAATGACGTCACACATTATGATACAGGTTCGATTCCTGTCGGAAGACGAATATTTTCTATGACAATTTCTCAGACATTCAGGCCGGCAAATGTTGTTTAATACTGTTTATTATAAACAGAGCATTTACTTAAATATTTGTATCTATAAAAAAAAGAATGTATAAACATAAAAAATGTCTTAAAATAGTTGTCGGACTTTGTCCATTTCGTATATATATGTATGTGTGTGTGTAATCTGTGCAAGCACACATGTGCGTGTGTGTGTGCGCGCGCGTTTGTGTGTGCGTGCGTGCATTTAAAAATTATTGCATTCATTTAATTATTGATTCCTTGCGATTCAATTTAAACTCAATTATCAATAAAATCGCAGCAAAATCCAAAACTTTCTTACTCTCATTATTTTTTTCATTTTTTTTTTTTTTTTGAAAAAAAAACATCTCATAGTCCCGCCCCAATTATATTTAACCTATAACAAGATAATAAGATTATCGACAAAGCTTACCACATTCCAACCAGTTTCTATCTAAAAGGGAAAAGGAATATGTTTCTTCCATATTGAATAATACTTCAGCGTATGAATCTCTTTATAATTATCCAATGGAGTTGTTTTCTTTTCAGTTGCAAGCTTTTGATCTTGGTCTAAGCTTATAATAAAACTGCATTTTTTTTTTTTATGGTTTAACATAAATCAGTTTTTATCTTCCTTTTCTCAAACAGTTACTAGTTTATTGGTTCCTTCCTTTGACTTTTCAATAGATTGGAAGTTGAAGCGTTTCATCGACTCTATCGAGTAACCTCGTCCTCACTAACCTCTTTTACGATTTCCTTTGTACTGATTGAACTCATAATCTTATTATACAGTATCCCCTATCTTTATCTCTCTCCTTCACTCTCACACACTCTTTTCTCGCTCTTTCTCACTTTTCTCATTCCTTCGCTCTCTCTTCTCTCGTTCTTTCTCAATCTGCCTCTCTTTTCTAGTTCTTTCTCTATCACCCTCTCCTCGTTCACCCTCTCTCTTTCTCTTCTTTCTCTCTTTGTCTTTTCTCGCTATTTCTCTCGCTCTCTTTTTTGCTCTTTCTTCATCTTTTTTCTCGCCTACTCTCTCTCTTTTTCGCTCTTTCTCCCTCTCTCTTTTCCCTCTTTTCTCGTTCTTTCTCCCGCTCTCTTTTTTAGATTTCTCACTCTCTCTTTTCTCACTCTTTCTTTTTGCTCTCTCTTTCCCTCTCCCCCCCATTAACTCATTAGAGAAGAGATTAGCTTAAGCAATAATTGAGTAAGAATTTATTGAATGAATTATCTATATAGGGACCTATGAATTTATCTCCAAATGGTATTTTCTTTTATAAGCTATGTCTTTTCCAAGCGTGCTTGATTATGGCCCTCCACAACTTCCAGCCTATGGTTACTCTAACTAACTTTAATCTCTATACCACTATTATATATCCGTGAAATGCGTCTATTCACACGAACTTACTCGCTGCTCTGCTTCTCATCTTCAACATGTCCTGTGAGTGTTAAATTTTCTGAACCATCTTTCTTCATTATTTGTCCCAGGAATTTCAGTTGTCTCTTTTTTTGTTTTCTTTATTTCCCTCAAGACATTCTCGATGTTCTTATGTTCTTTCATAGAATTCCTTCGTAGAATCGCGTTGCTGTCGATTGAAGTTCCTTCTTCATCTGTAAGAAGATTGTCCGGCATTCTGTGCCATATAGTGATTTTCCAAGCGTAGCTTAGAGGCGGCACAAGACCGGAAGCATGGGGAATCCAGTGAGGATCGAACTCACTATTCAGTACGTAAACGTTTTAGCGAGACAAGCTTGCTAACAATTACACCACGCCAAAGTGCCCAACATTCTGTGCCATATAGGAGAATATATATTATATAGAAGTTCAGTGCTCTTGTTTTTGGTACTGATGAAATTTTCCTCTAAGATATCTTAATTTTTATTAATGAAAAATAAATGTGATTCACTATAATTTTTTTTATTCATCAACTTCACAGCTGTATTCATCTTCATTATCAAAAATAATTTTGCACGCTTTGAAAACCAATGATGAAAAATTTAATGTTCCCCATCATAGACGAGATGGTTAACTAGAAGAGAGAAAAAAAAACAGAGAGAGAGAGAAAGAGAGAGAATCTATGGTGCTATGAGGGGGTGGATATCTTTCAGCCTCATTTTTTTTCTGAAACTGAAAAATAAACAGGAAACTAACATTGTCTTTTTGGTCTCAATATATGAGAGTTCAAATAAGATTAGCTGTGTCATAGATGGCTTGACCAACCCTTGAAACATCGAATCACATATCATCGCTCAAATGGCGTAAACAAAGACTTGAAGATCTCGGACTCTTAGCTGAGGCAATATGTCAAATGTATGGGTTTATAATTCTTACTTTGAACCTGATCATAGATTGTCGTTATAAAATTTACAACACCAGCCAGCAAAATGGGCAAAATATTGCTTCTGTCTACCAACTTTGTATCCGCCATGATTGTCGCTTCTGCGTGACAGCTACCAATTCTATATCTATTGTCCATCGACCTTATTTTACCCAGCGATTGTTATCTTTTCTCTTGTAATGTCTATTGAAAGACACGAAAGAAAAAAATATCTCGGTACAAACTGTTACATTTGGCGTTGCAAAAATATGAAAGTAACAAAAGGCAAAATCAGAGACGTCTTTCGGTGGACAGGTGAAGCTCTGTATAAAAAAAAATAATTACCCAAAATGTTTTACTGAAGAAAACAGAAGCTTCATAAGAATGGGAAGATTGTGTGCTTATGCACAAATTAAAGTTTTAGTTATAGCCCGCTGATGGGGGCACGTGTTATATAAATAATTATATATATATATATTTACAGTAATGCTCACCCTGTACAAGGACCAGGAGGCACTTGGGTTAAGTTAAGAGGCAGTTTTTTGCGGATAGGAGAGGAAGATAACGATTAACCCTAGACTTGAACAGGTTAAGAGAAACAGACAAGCATTCATAAGGATTGGCTTAGTTACTAGTCTTGTAGGCCATCACGATGATACTGACTTCAATTTTCAGTAAATATCTCTCACTTGAAATCTTATGCCAGAATAAGCTATGTTTTGAAAATACTATATATATTTATATGTGTGTATGTTTGCGTGTGCAATGTTACGCTTTAATCTCTCTTTTCACATCTTTTACCATCTCTCTTTTCACATCTTTTACCATCTCTCTTTTCACATCTTTTACCATCTCTCTCTCTCTCTCTCTCTCTCTCTCTCTCTCTCTCTCTCTCACTGTCCTTCTTTTACTTCTTTCTCCTTATTACTACATTGTCTATTTCTTCGAAATGTGTATTTTTACGATTTATTCCCACATACATACATACACACGAGGGATGCGTGTGTTCCTGTGTGAATCTTTTATTATTTTCTCTACGCCATCAATTAAATTGACCTTGGCAATGAATTTTGACCACTGGCAACATAAACACAAATAGACATTTTTGCCTGAGGACAAGGTGAATACAGCAGGTGCTATTCAAAAGAGCTTATTGGAAAGAGCAGACGACATAAAAGCAGATTGGGAAAATCAGAGTTTGAAAAGAAATGAAAATAAAAGAGGAAATTCTCCGGGGAAGAGACGAGACCAGAGATAATTGAAGAAAGAAAGTCAAACAGAGCCGGAATAAGAGGGAAAAAGTCAGACTTTAAAATAAACGCCGGGGACGGGTGGGGGAGATTTAAAAAAAAAAAACTTGTTAGGAAAAGAAATAAAGATGGGAAAAGTGTAAACACAAAAGAAATATATCCTTTTGAATTTTTTTTACCATACTCACATTTGCCGAATGGATATAAAGCTTGATTTCCAACCATGAAACCCTGGTTGGAATCTCATGATAATCGATTTCTCAGAAAGGTGATTCCTTGATGTTATCAGCCTGATCCCAGCGTGCCTGATAAACCATAACACAGGTTGAGCCAATTCTTGTAATTTAAACTGGGTAGGCAGAACAATTTGGGGGCCGTCAATGGTTATGCTAGCGCCAAGTGACAAGTCATCGTGACCGAGGTTTTGAACGTACTGGCCTTGTTCAGCCTATTATCCATGCCAGACAATGCACTCTCTCCCAGAAACTGTAACTAAGGTCGGCTCAGCGTAGTTGCAATATAAATCACAGGGGTGCTCTGTGATTGTTGACATGTGGCCAAGTGGATAATGATGTTGGTTAGATCCAATGACTAGACCCAAAGAGTTATGAGTTCAATACCAGGCCACAGATGTGGTGAACCAAAAACTTGGAGAGTTGAGTTAAAGGGAAATAACTTAGACATCCGGAAGAGGTATGGCACATGGAACTACCCCGGTGGACGAAATAAAGGGTTCGAAATTCCAATCGCCTAAAGAAGGCCGGAGCGCATAACGGCCGAAACATTGTGAATATGCCAATGAAATGAGGATAACAGTCCGAATAATGTAAATAATGCCTCATCTCAGAGATATAGACAAACACAAATGTACCTGAGCATGCGTCTGAACCGCCTTGGTAAATAGATATACGAATGGCTGGACATACCACACTCATTCTCTGTGTCTGTGTTCATTCTGACATCTCTAGGCTAGCGAGTTCAATTCTCACTGGGTGTACAACTAAGATACGCTATGTAAATCGCTTTTTGGGCAAAACTGATCTTGCTAGATCAATTACTACTGAGTAGTCAGTTTGATCCTTACTAAGAGCTCCCTACTTTCTTACTTGTGCCACATCTAAACTATGCTATAAAATGAGCCAAATTCTGTAGCGACGTGGACGGATGGATAAATATATATCTCAACTTTTCTATCTCAGTCGGTTCCAAACTACCTCTTTATCTATGTCTGTCCATATAAGTCCTATTTCAATCTGTTTATACATATATCACTACCTCACTCTGTTCATAAATTGCCTCTCTATCTCATTTTGTTCTTACCTAATTCATTTTGATCATATCTGTTTCTGTCTGTTCACATCTGCATATGTATCTCAGTTTATTTGTATATGTCACGGCTGTTCACATCTATACCAATGTGTTCATGTCTATCTCAATCTCTTCATACCTATATATCTATATACCCCAATCTCTTCATACCTATATATCTATATAGGTCAATCTCTTCAAACCTATCTATCTATCTATCTATCTATCTATCTATCTATCTATATATATATATATATATATATATATATATATATATGTGTGTGTGTGTGTATATATATATATATATATATATATATATATATATATATATATATATATATCAATCTCTTCATACCTTTTATATCTATATACCCCAATCTCTTCATACCTATCTATCTATATATATATATATATATATATATATATATATATATATATATATATATATATATATATATATATCCCAATCTCTTCGTACCTATATATCTATATAGCTCAATCTCTTCAAACCTATCTATCTATCTATCTATATAGATCCCAATTTCTTCGTACCTATATATCCATATATCCCAATCACTTCGTACCTATATATCTATATATCCCAATTACTTCATATCTATATATCTATATACCCAAATCTATTCATACCTATATATCTATATTCCCCAATCTATTAATACCTATATATCTATATATCCCAATTTCTTCATATCTGTATACCCCAATCTATTCATACCTATATATCTATATACCCCAATCTATTCATACCTATATATCTATATATCCCAATCTATTCATACCTATATATCTATATATCCCAATCTCTTCATATCTATATATCTATATAGCCCAATCTATTCATACCTATATGTCTATATATCCCAATCTATTCATACCTATATTTTCATATCTACCTGCTGCTCCTTTCTTTTCTATAAAGTTGTATACCTCCATATCTCAACAATTCATTCCGCACCATTTTCTTTCTTCTCATGTATTCAACAATTTATCGCTGTTCGCGTCCATTTATTTGTCTGTCAATCTAGCCTAGCAACCACTCCTTATGTAGCCGTCTTCCTTTCAAATACTAACATTGTGATGCTTTGTTTAGCTTCGAGGTTTCATGTACGAGAGAGCACTGAATTGTTTTCGGAACGAATAACCTCTCAAAATCTGACCAATTTTTTTAAGTGCTTCTAACTTTGACTGATAAATTTTCAGTTACTCCTCATACAATTGTAAGTTTGATACAACACATTTGTGTATTTTTTTTTGTTTAAAATTAATATGTAACAACAAATATACAAATATTTTAAAACA